CCCTTTTTGACTTGCTCCCATTCTCACACTGTATTTATTTTTATACGTGTCGCAACCATGTTAAAAACTTCTATTAGTGCACATTCACCTTCTGATTTGTATTATGGCTATCGCCACCTGTGCACTAATAACGTCAATCCAGTTGGTCACCTGCTACTTCCAATTCGGAATCCTGGCCTTCAGCAAAGAGATGGACTGTGAATATGGAGCCGCCTTTAACCTCGGATATGACCAAGTGTATATCCATACTCAAGAGTTATCATGCTACCGGTCCTGGCGACCCTCCACCTTCTCTGTTCAGGGATGGTGGCGGGTTTCCAAACCAGTGCCTGTCCAACCTATTTGGAAGTAAGAGACCGTCCCAGAAAACTGCGTTGAATAGGTAATAGTGCCTACTTTCGAAAAGGGTACCCGCAGTGAATATGCCAACCACAAGGGTGTTATTTCATCTGCCGTGGTAACAAGGCTTCTGGCCTGTCTGATACTTCGGCATCTCATGGTGGCTCATGAAACCTTAACTCGTGAGAATCAAGCGGGATTTCGACCGGGTAGAGGCTGCGTTGACCACATCTACACACTCCGTCACATGTACAGTCGACCCATAATCTGGGTGTTCGTTGACCTCGAAAATGTGTTTGATTCTGCGGATCGATCAGTGCTGTTAATCACATTTTCTAAACAGGATAAACAACAGAAAAATTTGAACACAATCTCATTTCTATATGGTGTACTTCTGGGCGCGTGAGAGTGCATGGTGGATCCATTTCCAAACAATTTCCTAAAAAGTGTTATCCATCAAGGATGTCCACTCTGTCCACTCTTATTCAATTTCATCGTTGATGAAATAATGAGGTGGACGATGGAAGCTGTTGAAAACCCCGGTGTTCAAATTGTTGCTGATGCAAAATTTGTCGATCTGGAGTACGCAGACGACGCCACCCTCATCTTCGAAGCACAAGCCCTGTTGACTAGAATGTCGACCATCATGTGATCCTTCGGCACGCACTTTGCAACAGCAAAACTCAAATTCATGCTTCAGAACGTGAAGTTTTTGAACACACCCCTAATAATTCAAGGAGAATCACCAGAGTTCGTAGAAAATTTTGCATGCCTCGGTAGTTGTATCAGCTCTGACGGAAATGTATTTGATGAAGTCAGTGCGGGAATCTCAAAGGCTGGAATCGAGTCTGCTCATCTGCGTCACTGGGCCTTAAGTGTCGTGCGTACCAGGCTATAGTAAGGGCTGTGTTGTAAGGCTGTGAGACGTGGCCTCCGCACACAGATGGTGAGAGGCGTCCATAGGGTTTTTTTCACCACCGATGCCTCAGAAGCGTTGCTAATTTTGGATGACGTCAGCGGAATGATAACGAGGTGATTGGAAAACGGGTATCTGGTTGCACGGCAGGTACTTCAGTCACAGAAGACGTCCAGAACCATCAACTTAGGTGGCTCGACCACGTGCTACGCATATCGAAACACCGTTTACCGACAAGTGTTGTTCACAGTTCCTGCTTCAGAATGGTGAAAACTGCGAGGTGGTAACGTACTACTTGACAGAAGGATGTGAAAGAGATTACGGGGGGCTTGGATGTTGCTGATGTTGGACGACTTTCAGGATGGGGTCCCCATGACCCCGCTTGTGCTTGTCTGGAGACGTTTCAGTAAACGGAGTCTGGTCGATGTCAGTGCCATTCGTACTGTGACTTTCTAGATTGTCTGACTGAGCGCTCGGATGTGAAGATATCTAAGAATGCTCACGACTGGCCAGAATCAAGTCCCATACCACACCCCTCTCTTTCTCTTTTCACTCTAAGGCTTTAAATATGATTAGACGAACCATATGCTTGTACGGCAGTGAGGCATCAGTATCAGCACCTATGTTGCTGTCTCTGATAAGTCCTAAAGCAGCAATTTACACTGTTCAGGTGTGCAACGCATTTCAATATTTGAGGCAGAATTGTTTAGATTATTTAATAATGTTTACATTAGGACTACGTCGGATTCAAGGGGAGTTTTGTTGTCTGTGTGCTCAACACCTATGAGAAAATTCCCAGTCATTAGGGGCTGGTAGTGAGTCTTTCAGAAAGGCTTGGTAAACAATCGGTATTTTTTTTTATTTGTTCAACGTTTTGCCTTTGACACAAAAGCTTCATCAGACCAAGTGAAAATCGGCCAAGTTATAAGACAGACGGGCAACCAATCAGTAAGTCCTCTTCAGATTATCACACTAGATCGGTGTTGAGTTGTCAATTAAGGCTTTTGTCGGTTAGTGTGATTGTCAAAATCTTGCATTGATAAAATTGGGGAAGTTTCAGGTTTGGTTCCTTAATCTTCCACTTCAGTGTGCTTCAACTGATGATCCACCGTGGTCGCCGCTGATAGATTTCTTTATTCTTCGTGGGCTTGTGAGGGTTACGACAATTTAGTTGGGGGGAGATGAGGTCAAGTGGAGTTCAGATGATGACTACACCTTCTGATGACCGCACACCAACACCTGTCAGCCTGACTGATCCAAAACCATCTTCCACACGCTTGCCAGTTCTGTTAACACTGGGATGCTTGGCGATTTCTACCGCCTCGTCTATCAGTCTGTGTGATGTGAACCGTAGTCCTCGCCTCAAAATCTTAACATTTTCTAGATCTATTTTGTGTCCCATGAAAACTACATGTTCTGCAATTGCTTAGTCTTTCGATAGCGCTCGATATTCGTTTGCATTTGTGAGTGGCCTGTTCATTTTTCCTCTTATGCTCTCCGATTCTGGTGTGAAGTTCCCTGACCATCTGTCCTATATAGACCATAGTGCAGTCGTTACACTTCATTTTGTAGACACGGTCTCTGGTTCTGTTTGCCAGGAGGTGCCGAGCGCTTTGGAAAGCTACTCTTATGTTAGCCGTGTTTAGAATTCTTCGAATGACCTCCGATGTCCCTGGTTTATATGGGATAACAGCTGTCTCGATCCGTTCCCTATTGAGTTTCGCTACCGGTACCAACACTCTTCGCAATTGACGCTTAATCAAGCTAGCTGGATATCCACTAGCCCGAAGTTTGTTCTTCACTTCAATTTGAGCCACTTCGATCAGCTTCTTCTGTGCACAGGGCCCTTACACGCCTAAACATTGATGACGCAATACTGGCGATTAGCGACCTCGGATGGGCAGACGAGTAGTTCAAAACTGCCCCCGTGTCGGTTGGCTTCTCGTACACTGTGGTCTTTAGTTTTAACCCAAACTTGTGTCATGCAGTCTAAAAAGGTCAACGCACCAGGGCTTGACTCCATCTCCATACTAAATTTGATGTGTGGACTCACTTCATTCAGATAGTTGTAAAACTTACAAACCTTGTCTCGTTTCATCACGATGAAAGTATCATCCACATAACGCCAGAATACCTTTGGTGGGTATGCCAATCCCCCAAAGCTTTCTTCCATAAATGTATTTGCTAAAGCCGGGGATATTGGAGATCCCATTACTAGACCTTGTTCTCGAGCGTAAACCACGGAGTCAAAAACAAAATGGATGAGATTCAGGCATGCTTTTATGCCTTCCACTAGTTCACTTACCGTGAGCTGTGTCCGTTCCGGAAAGGTGGTGTCTGCTAGTTGCAGTTCCCTTCTGGCACATTTGTATACAACGAATTGACATCGGAATTTACAAGGATATCACCTGGTTCAATGACGACCCCCTCTACTTTATTGGCAAAGCCATACAAATTCTTATTGTAGGTAATAAATTTCCCGACGAGGGGTTTGAAAATACCGGCCAAGAGTCTGGAACCTATTCCGTGTACTATCAGTCTTACCGGGAAATCTGGTCCTTAGATTTTGTGGAAAGCCATAAAGCCGTGGTTGGATTGCACTTTTGGGGTAAAATCGATACCAATTACCTTACACTAAGTGGTGTATCAAGGTCAACAAATATCCGCCAACTTCAACTTTACTCCTATTCAGTATACATGTAATATTCGCAGTGTCGATCTGCCGGTAAGGACCCTAAGCTAGGTGTTGCATGACCTTCTGTAGATGATCACTCTTGTTCATGACAACAGTGGCCTTGCTCTTATCAGCCTTTGTAATAACTGTTGTTCAACTTTTTAGGGTGTTTAAAGCTCTTCGCTCTGCTGGGACTTAAAGTCCGTAAGTTGTACCCGAAGCCCAAATAAAAAACGACCGATTGTGTACCAAGCCCTTCCGGAACGATTTCGTAATCTCCTTCGTACCCCATTGCCAAGTCGAGGGTTTACCACCTCTCTGCTTCCACCATTCTGAATTGGGCGTGGAAAGCAGCACTCTCCGAATACCAACGGTTCCACACACTCAATATATGGCGTAAGCAACGCAGCTTCTGGTGTGAATCAATAGAATCAACTAACATCTGCTTTTCCTACTAGGCACCATCGCATGCCAGATGTCCGGAGTTCAACCCCTTGGTAACGTCAGGGATACGCACTGCTGATGAGCTCCAATGGGATCGAAACCCAAGTCCACGGATTCGTCAAAACCATCGTGCCAGGAAGGAAGGAAGACTGTAAACGCGAAATCCTAATTATCCTAGAAGCTCCCATCATGATAGATTGAAAGTGATGTGTCAATTAGGACAGCCTTCAGCTGACGATGATGACGACGCTGACACAGGTATACTGTTTCACAATCTGTTGGTGGCCGATAAAAGCTTGTAGCCTTGTTTCATACATTGAGGAGGATCAATACAGAATCTTCCACTCCATAAACTATTTGATCGCTTCATGTATGCTTGATAACGTACTTGATTTATCTGACAGGCTTAGACATGTTTAGATTGGGTGACAATGCAGATGTTTACGTGGCTGAGCACTTTGTCGAACCATCCACATGATCTTGTATCCTCTCGTGATTACGTACGAATTCAATTTCAATTCAATTTATCAGTTGTTAACCGTGTGCCATAGGCCCATCGGTTCCAGCTGCTACAGTTTCGATCACCGGAAAACGGGAATGTGGAACACACAACCAAGTTTTGGAGGCGAAGGCATGTTCAATTTGTTCGGAAATTGGATAGCTACGCATTGAAGGCGATGGTTTTGATGCGCGAGCGCCACTGACTGTGCGATCGGCAATATATGGACGGCTCATTGTAGGCCGGCTGAGGCAGATAGTTGCACTAAAGTGAAGCACTAGAGCAACTCAGCCTTTGGTTTTCGTCTTTATTAGACAAGCAAATTGTACCGTCTAAATTGCTCACCATGCAGGATTATGGGGCCTCGAGACACTAATTTTTAAGCAATAAGTTGCACCATATGGGAATATAGTTTGCAGGAAATCACCAATGACTCCGGCGAGTAATACCTCTGTCAACAGTGAGATGCGTTCGTAAAATCGGTATTCTTTTTTCATTGCGTTTGAAGTTCCCAAACATTTAACCTCCCCATATGGAAACGAATTTAGTCGAATGGACTGCTCGCATTCACTATATTCTAATAATGGCCAGCTGACTAGGCATAGTCGATAAATCAATAATGTCAGTTCAAGGTCATCTGTCATCTGGCCAGTCCGACAACGATACCGGATATCAACTAAGGGCAAATTTAGTAATGCAGAGTGATTCTCAATTGTTCATCGATCCCACCTATCGAGATGAGGTTCACTTTAGTGGGGATTATGACTACGACCTGGTTGGGAAACCCACATCCAACAGAATAAGACTGTTGCAAAATCATCTTGATTCAATGCGACAGTTTCTCGAGTCCTATCAGGTGGAAATATTCCTCAGCACTCTGCTCTTTTTCGCAGTCCTGCTTTTGATTCCATGTGTAGTACGATGGTTTGAGGAATGTTGGACAACTCTAACGATCTTACGATTGGCCTCAAAACAACGAGGCGAAATTCGGAGAAAGGAACAGTCAACTACAACTTTGTTGAAACAGAATCATTTTAACGACCTTTATGCTCGTGTTGCGATTCAAGCCTACACAGGTTTGTGGCGAGTATTTGAGGGGGCCCGTAAAATCCCTATCCCACTAACTGGTGAAGAATACGAAATGCTTCGATATATATTTGTGTATAGTCCAGTTAGTGAGGAAGCAAGTGGACCGAGTTTTAGGTTGTCACAAGCCGATTCGGTTGAGTCAACAGAGCTCATTCCGGAACAAACGGATGAGCCACCGGTTTGCGCGAGATTTAAACCATGGATATGCATAACGAAGGAAGAAGAAGAAGGGACACCTTCGTCAGAACCATCTTCACCAAATTTAGAAGGTACGTTGTCAAAATCCGATTCAATTGAATCGATACCGCATATTCTGGAAGAAACAAAGATGCAACCCGCGTGTGTGGAATATCCACCATTGATGTCCAAGACGGAAGAGAAGATATCTTCGTTAGAGTCGTCTTCACGAGGCTCAGGAGATAGGCTAGAATTGACTGGATGGTTGCTAGAATATAAACGTCGCCTTCAAGAGGCAATGGAAAAAGCTCCGGTAAACAAAATAGCCGTTTTATCCAGGAGGGCTTCGATGACATCATCACCTCATGGGCAGAAACTCTCGAGGGTGGAAAGTCTTGAGACTACCGACCCAGAGTTTTTCCGACCCGTTTGGGAACCGACTCATGAAGCTTTGGAACGCAGTCTTGGTCCAGGAAAGCGCTTCTACCCTAGCGGCACCATCCCATCACACTTGGCTGAAAAACTCAAAATTGATCACACAATCGATCTGCCAATCGATGACAAACATCGACCCAGTGTATACTTTCGAACAGCATCTAGTGATCCTAATTCTTTGGAAATATCTGGCTCTTCGGTTCATTCACAAGAAAACGAGGAGGTGTTGATGGAAGAGCTACGTCGAATGGCGGGCATAGATGGACGCAAAAAAGGAAAGGGTAAGAAAGGTCACAAGAAGTCCAAAAGAACAAATGAATAAAAGAGCTGATGCCGCTAATTTCGCATACGTACCTGATTTTTCGCACCACGAAATCAAAGAGCAACCTATCAAATCGTCTGAACACCACTGTATATAAAGGCAAGCTAAGGCAAATATACATCAGCTTCACAGATAATTCTTCGTGAATTTTGGTTTGTTGGCCCAAAGCGAACTGTATCTTAGACGTTTTAAATCATCATTACCAGCTGTGAAAACCGCATACTTGTCATGTAATGGTTGTAGCTGCCTCAGTTTCGTTCGCCAGTGATTTGGAGAGTTGGGGTTGATAGCTGCGTATTGGAGGCGGAAGATTATAAAATCGGTGGGTAAATACAGGGTTGTCAGTGGACTTTTTGTTCGCTGGGGGATTGGAAGGTGAACCAACAATGCATTGAAGGCAATAGCTTGGATGCGCGGGCACAACTGAGGGCACGACTGGGCCATGTATGACAATGTCACTGACCTTAGGTATAGGCACCTCGGAATGATTATGGTAGGCTAGCACTAAGTCCCTTCCCCGTCCACCTTTACTCTTTTCTTTACAATAGGGCTTTCAAAAAAATCCTGATTGTACGGCAGTGAAGCATCGGTGTTGAACACTGATATCATGCTGTCGATGATGATGACGTCTATAACCCTTGATGTGCCCTGTCTCAAGGTCATCATCCAGGGCGAAGTTAATGACCAGCAGCCGAGTTTGCCAGCAACGGCTTTAGAATACTTGGTCCAAGTCAGCGTTTGACCTCTCTCGGTGTGTTCCCACCCTTCGCCTGATGGTGCGTTAGGCGCCGTTCGACAAATTCGGTCCATCGTTAGATAAAGCACGTGACCAATCCAGTGTAACCTATATAATGTGGTCAGTTCGTCGACCTCTCCCGAAAACCATTACTAATCCGGTGTTCCGACCGGACTCAAGCAATACTACGAAGTGTTGACCAGAACATGTAAATCTGATAGGTGAGTGGGTGGTTTGGGCACTATAAACGCATCGTGCAGAATGAAAATAAGGCTTTTAGACTTCTGTTTATGGTTTCAAAGCTGACCGTTCTAAAATTTAGCAACCATTGTCACAAGGTAAAGTTGACATCAGGCTAAAGACTGCTCTCCGCATTCGTCTATGGTAGCTCTTTCGATGAGTGTCATTCGCAGCGGAATAGACTTCCGGGATCTCGGTGAATTTGAATGCGAAAACGTTTGTCCATAACCGAGAATGATGTAGAGAGGTTTACACGCGGATACTGATCGGATACAATCTAGTGAATAAAGGCATCCTTGTAACTTGTTTTTACGCATAGAACATGGCAGATAGATGACCCCAGGTTCAAGTTTGCTGGCCTATTTTAGCCGGACTGCGTGGCTATATGGTATCCCTTGGTGTGCCGTACTTGTATCGAGTTTCATTGCAGAGTTGGATCACTCCCACTGATGGCAACATACCGCAACACAATGCTCACATATGTTTGTTTCAATGGTGAAAACAACCGACTCCTGTACGTTCACTCTGGAGACAATGCTTCTTAGAACAATGCCCCACTCTGCTCCTTCCTTTTACATCCTTTATTAGGACCCTCTTCTTCTAGAGGTTGATGATGACTGAGTACCTCTTTCCATCACCTGATACAGGCAAAATTATTTGAGTAGCTCAGTGGGTCCAGCATGAAAAATGGAAAGAGCTTCCAATTCAACGCATTTGAAATTGATCGTTGACCTAGGCTATACAACACATCAGGTGGTTCACTGTTCGGGTTGAGGAACTCTTCAGCTCAAATCCGGAAGAGCACACTTTCGGCACATAGCTGCTGTGCAACTCGGAGGGTGCACGATGGATAGCCTACGGCCAGTTCTTTCAGATATATAGACGGGAGCATTCGAGATGCCGAGGTCTGATTCGAAACATAGACGTACTGGTTAGCAGCCCTGTGATCAACCACTGAGTTATCTCGAGTTCAAATTTGAAGGAGCGATTGACCGTCAAATGTGGGAAGAAGGTTTTGTAACTCTACTCAAAGTAGACTGGGTGTGAAAATCTCCAGAAGTCCGGATGTCCACTGGTGACGAGGCCCAGAGGAAGCAGCTCACTGCAAAGACCGCTCGCAAGGACGCACCGGCGACTGGTGGTGTTGGGGAGCCTCATCGGTACGGGCCCGGCACTGTCGCATTGCGCAAAATTCGTTGTTGCCAGGACAGCACTGAGCTCTTGATTTGCAAACCTCCATTCCTGCGCCTTGTACGTGAGACAGCCCAAGACTTCTCGGCAAAGGGCTTTCCTCCTTATATTCGTTCAGCTGTAGCATCCTTTCGGTGCCTAGCTGTCATGCCACACGGAGGCTGGGATACTTCCAGGTCGCCTAAGCCTAGACAGGGGAAGTCGAGAAGCAGTGGTTTGGTTTGAACCACGGACCTTACGGTCGGTGAATTCGCGCTTTAACCACTTGGTCTGTCTCGCCCTCCTTATATTATGCTATGAGCATTTTGGCTGTGATTGTTTGGGTGATCCGGTTGAACGAGAATACCCTGTTACACCCTCCGGTCTTTTTTTCCAAAGGTTACGGAATCAACAAATAGTGAGGTTAGATTATGTACTTCATTACTCTTTCACTGACGTGTGTATCTCCACATATGAACAAGTGGCATTCGCTCAGTGACAAATTCTTGGCTCGGATAAGCCATCTGGTAGAGATGTGACACAGGAAGCCACGTAACCAAGAACTACGGGTGAATGTTAGGTTACAACTGGACTGTATAAGCTGCGGAACAAGGCGAAGAAATATAGAGAGTTGGCACTTGCGGTGTTAGGCATTTCTCGGTTTTCATTAAGCTATTTTATAAGGTTCATTTTTGACTAACGCCTTTTCAAAACCAAGTATAATTACTTTCCTCAGTCCAGAGTTTACTCAGTTTCCGCGGTAAATCTTAAATGGTACACACACAAAGTAGCTATAGCATCTCAGGTCATTTCAGTTTTCCTCTTAGGAGCATCTACCTGAATTACTTACGATATATTACTCCGAACCGGCCGAAATTGAATCGGGAAATGAGTGAATATGTTGCGATGCAAAGTACCGAGTGCATCAGGCAGACACTATGCTGTTTGTATGTAGAAAAGTGCTGTTCTGTTTCCATGAGCCCTGCAAGTAAACGGTGTAGACGTCAGTTTGATATAACTTGAAGTTGTTTCTCTTGCTGGTAGATCACTAGATTTACTCACACAGGACAAAACCGAGCCGATAAGAATGTTCTGCTTTGTACATCCTCCTCACCTTCATTTCGGAGACCTTGGCTTTCTCTCAAGATGTGTACTTCTGTCATGACACAACGATCCATCTCATGAGACTTTGTAGTTCTTGAGCTACTCTCCCGTTGGACAACTATACGGTCAGCATAACAAACATCAAGGCAAATCAGCGGCCTTCCTTTCTCTTGATTAAACCATCCATTCAGTGCGACCGGTTTTTGACAAGGCGGTAAGAACCTTTGAAAGGTTCATCATTGCCAGCCGAGTACAAGATGTTGAAAGACAGACAGCTATACGTTCGAGTCACAAAGTGTGAAGGGTAACAAATTAAGAATAGTAATAATATCAATATTAATATTAATTATTCATTATTATTATAAGGAAGAATGAGGGCTGGGATACTACCAGACTGCCCAACCCTAGACAGGAGAGGTCAAGATGCTGAGCTTGGACTTGAACCACAGATATGACAGTCAGTAAATTCGCATTTGAATGACTGAGCCATCTCGAGCACAGCTAATCCATGGCAAACTGTAATTCAAGGGACATCGAACGATGCTTGATGAAGGCTATGATGATCCCGTATGGAATAAGGCAAGAGGATATGGGCATATTATACTCCACTTCTACACCGGTATCCAACACTGGTTGGTTGTGGAGCGACATTCATCCCGGGGTCATATTTTTATTTCCCCATCGCAGAAAATTGGGCATTTCGTCGAGTTAATGTCCGGTCTACCACCACCTGTCAGAGTACGTTTGGTCTTCATCTTCACCATCATAACTGTTCCTTCACGTTCATTGAAGGTGACCGTTGCTGTCAAAATCAACGACCAACGCAATCTCCCGCTTACTGTGTTGACGGAAGCCTACGGCAAACGCAAATTAGTGAGCTTTCTATAGAAAACTTGGAGTTTGGAAGTGTCAGGGCTTGTCGAGCGAACACTGCAGGTTGAACTAAGTTCATGGAACATGTGATTCATTCTGTTTCCGACACCATCTGCAAAACTATTGTGAACCGGTAACGGGTGTGTCAAATCCACGTAGAACCTACATCTGTCCGGCAAAAGAGCCTCGTATTTTGACAGAGTTAACCATGTTACAGAAAGGTAGTGAACCAAATTGATCTCTGCCCTTAGGACGCAGCTCGTCCATTCGAAGTGTTGGGGGATTTGATAGAAATCGTAGGTGGGTTGTTTACAAATGTAGGTTCGAAGCACAATAGATTTTGGTCTTGTATTGAGGAGCCATGCACCAAAATTCCAATTCTGCAATACTAACTTCAAACTCACACACGAGTCGATCAATTTCAGATTTGCCTGTACCTCAGTAAGTAATGTTCTTTCTTTTAGACAAAAGATTGACTTTGTTGATCGAATGAAGAGATTTCGAACTACAACTGAGGCTAATCTATGCTGGAAAGCCTATAAGCACTGTACAGCGACTTGATCCTTACTAGGAATCATCAGCAGTACGCATCTCGTGAAACTCCAAGGAGCCTAGAGACTGTGACCTCCCGGCTAGTTGTATACCTGAACGCCCGAACATGACAGACTATTCACCGGGTGATTGGTCCACATTTGGACAGGATACAGAATCGCTCATGCTTTACTCGCGGAATCCACTTTTTATGGCCACGTGTCGAGTAACGACTCCACAGAAGGAAGCTTAATTTGTCTCAATCATTCTTCCTCCTTCACCAGAAGTGACCTAGTCCTAGAAACATACAATAACGCAGCAGTTTGACAAAAGCCTCCTTTGAGACCCAGTGGTATGCCTTCCAACGTTATAAATGGTGAAAATTGAAAACACAATTCTGGCCTTTAAGAATCTTGCGATGACTTCGTCTGTCACACTACCGTAAGAGCTAATGCAGCTTCTACATCTCGTTGAATTTTTAGCAACACTTTCAAAGACTGTACGCCCCGCAGTATGACTTTGTGAAACATACGTCGAATGACTGAAAGGCTTTTCTAGTAATTATTGCGCCTTCTGCTCCACATTAAAAAAATGAGAACAATGTCATCTGCATGGTTCAGGCCGACAACATTGCAACACCGGGCTTTTGGAGATCATCTGGACTGAAAACTTCAGAATCTCACGGGTTTATAAAAACTTACGTTTTGGGAACAAATGAAGCTGGAGCGACTGAGAGCAATCGAACCTATTTGGATTGTAAATTTGAACTTGAACTACAAACACCAGGGCTCATTTACTTAATTCCTCCTCTTCTACTCCTGGTTTAGTACGTTACCTCCTAAGTGCCATGCGTACTTTCCAATCTTGCGATGATCTCATCATCGATCGTTTTGGAACGGAATATTCAAATTCCACTAGGTCATTCATTCCTCGTGGCCATGTTGTCTTACACATCGGATGACATAATCATAGACCCAACCTTTGCAGATTATGATGCCTATTTGCGCGTATACGATTACGACCTTCTGGGGCATCCGATTGGCCTCGGACGGGACTTCTTGCGTAATCCAATCGGATACCTAAAAGTTAAGATCACGGAATACAAAGTCTACATTACACTTAGTCCATTCATGCTATTCTTCGCTTATTATCTCCTAGTGGTGGTTGGAATACGCTCTATCAAAAGTGGTCTCCATTGGACCTTATCAGTTCTGTTTTTCAAGAAAGAAAGAGGGAAAGCCAAATCACGGGCCCGGGATAGGATGCTTCGAGAATTACCTGAGGATTTAGATATACACGCTCAAGCAATTTATCGCACACTGGCCAGACATCACCAGATAAAAAGCACAACGGCTAAGGATGTCTTGCCGGAAACGGCCAGCGACTACGAGGCGATGCGGTTCGCTTTCGAGGCAGTGTGTGCCACCGGTTGGAGCCTGCGCACACTGGAGGAAGCCGATCCATTTCGTTCTTTCGAAGACGAACCTATTGAAGGTGCCGCGGAAGACGAGGAGATAGACAGACTTTTGGCTGAAATGGCTATTGAAGGCGGTGCGGAAGAAGAGGCGGGCGAAGAAGAAGAAGGAAACGGTGAAAGGCGGGTGGATGGGGAAGCCAAAGATGCTACTGGAGACAGTCCACAACCGGAAGAAGAAATTGACCAAGAGAATGTGGATGACGACCGTACACCACCGTACGACATACAGTCTGGCGAGGAGCCCCTTGCAGTTGACAGTCCGATCGAACATGAAGAGGATGTTCATTACCCGCAGAATGAAGAGCACTTTGTTCAAGAAGCCGATGAGCAGGAGGATCAAATAAATGTGCATAATCCAGGCGCGAAGGGATTCCATACAAACGAGATCAACCCTTCCTCTGAAGGAACCGACAACCTCAGGGTAAGACGAAGTCGGCCGACAATCGATGGTCGTAATCCAGTAGGGTCGAGGGGACAGTACCATAAATATAGACTTACAGCGGGTAGTTCGGTTGAGGACCGTTTACCGCTAAAAAGTAGTGCAGATAAGGGAGGGGTTGATATTAAGAGGTGGCGTTATTGACCTTCGCCCGCAAAGCGAGAAATTTAGTCGAGGCGACATTCAAAGAATTTGGGACAGCATAGTTCCGTTTGGATATTCCCGTTGTTCCTTCATACTTGTGTATTTTGTGACCATTTACAAAAATATATCTTCGAAAAACTATCATACCTTCAATCGCTGGTATGCGTTCAAGTGGTCTGTGGGACGGGACTGCATTCCCTAACATATCAGACGCCAGATCGGTAAGGAGGAACAGGGATTCATGTATGCCAACTGGTTGTCATGATGTAGCTAATAGATAACCAAAGGCGCGCAACGTGGATGCCATTAGTTCATTCCGGCAGACGATCACTGATGGTTTTTCGCATCCGCTCCTTCTGGTTGGTGCAACCGGTGTGTATCAGGGTTCACGGTCTCCGGACCGTATCGAGCGTGATTTTTCGACTGACGAGACAACGTTCAATGGAGCGTCATTCGATCAGATTGGCAGGGCAGCCCGTGTAGGAGAGTGTATCAGTAAACAGTAACTGAAACTCCGCCTACAGAGAAGAAGCCCTGGTTAAAACAGGAGCCAAACATTGTTTTGTTGTAGTCAGGTAGCCAGATAGATGGAATGAGCAGGAAAAAGAATCCTTAGCTAATCATACATCAGAATCAGCGGTCTTGTTACGTAGGCGAAGATGTGTGTGTACAGTAAGAGCGGGGTTTGTAATACGATAAGGAGATCCAAACAACTGGGATTCAAGTAGCACGACGGTGTGACCCCCTAGTCGAAGTGACAGAAGATATGCGGTTAGGAAAAGTCACAAAGTAGACGAGAATTATCCCTTTCTTAGCGCTTTCACAATGTATCGCCCTCCTACCACCTACCCACCGTCCGCACCCCGATGAGGACAAATGGACCTGTGTAGCCGCTGGCTCACATTTACCATAACTAGTTGACTAATTGAGAATTCTACTCGTAAAATTACCTGGAAACGCACCGCTAAAGTCCGTTAGGTCGTTGAATTTCGTACAACCGCCCGATGTCAGCTTGGAAAATAAGTCCTCTAGCTCCAACGACAAACTTATTTGTTCTTCCTCTCAGGCTATCGGTGTTGATAGAAGTCTGCTGACGTAAACTAAGCACAAGTCAGTACTCCCTTGTTCCAAACTCGCTTTACCTAAGGCGGAGTGAGTAAGTTTGCCCTCCTAACGCAAGGGCGAGGCTCTCCAACATCCAGCGATTGTCCTTTCGGCCCTATCCGATCAATACTATACTACCTCCAATGACGAAAATCTTTCCTGAGAGATGTTGATAAGCGGCCCCCAGTAGATAGTATTTGACTTAGTTGACGCGTGAACGTTGCGCAAAATATGCCAACTGATGATGGACCAGATGGGCCCTTCATTCGTCACCCTTTTTCCCGGAGAACGAAAAGACTCATTAGTCGGAACCGGTGACTCGGCAAGGTGTCACAATGGGTCACTTGTTTTGACAATCATGGTACAGGTAACCCGTTTAACCTCCCTTGCTCCAAGGAGTGTATTAGTGGTACACGGACTAAACGGGTATCAAATCCCAGGGGCCAACTACGTCATTAATTTTAGTGGGGACAACTGAAAACCCCCCCTTATTTTCAGTGACATATGCTACGTGTTAACGGCATCCAGGCCTAAGGCATTACATGATAACCAATCTTAAGCTAGTTCTGACATAGCAGCCGTGACATGTTCACCCAGCCCTGTCTATTCTGACCAGCGTCAACGAGGCTGTACTGGCAACCACATTACGAGAATCCATCCAACTTATCGGCTCGTTAGATACGTTAGAAACAATTGATCTGATGTGACATACAGTAGTGCTGAGTTGTTTATTCTCTCTTGGACGCAGGTATTAACAGTGCCCGTACAAGCATTTTCAAGGAGTTCAGAACTGGTGTCACACAGTTTAGGGGTTGTTCGCGTGAGACCATTCTCGAGGTGTCACCTGTGAGATTCAGGGACTGTGTCATCTCACAGCGAATTTTCCGTAGACGGTCAGTAAGCTCCGCGTTGTCCTCTCCTGAAGACGGATGCACGGCTTCTGTAGCAAGCAGTTTGGAAAAATCATTCACTTCAAAAAGGAAATCGCTTGCTTGCGCGATTACGTCATCATCTTTTGGGTGTTGGATTCAAATGACTCAGAGTTGAGTGTACTAACGTGACCTGAACAAGAGTTGAGTACTTTCACACAGAATACTGTCACAGTAAGCCGACAGTTATTGTACTGAGGTATACGAATTCAGGGGAAGGGGGTGAGATGTACCAAGTGGTTAGAGCGCGAATTTACTGATTAGAAGGTCCGTAGATTCGAACCCGACCTTTGCCTCTTGACTTCCCCTGTCTAGACTTGGGCAATGTGGCAGTATCCTAGCCCTCGTGCAACCTTGATCCTGGAAACAGTGTGACATAAGTCTCTTTATGGATGACAACAGGGTTTTCTCCTTCCCATGGATAACTTCATCGTGGCATATCAAGTCTCATGTTTCATAATATAGCGGGACAAAGGGAGGAACAAGACACTGCTGAAGCGTTCAAGAGACGACACAAATTAGTATAGAAGAATAAACGGGCACGATTAGACTGCAATCTGTTCCCACTGGTGTTCGCACTATTCACTTGTTCTCGTAGGGGTAACCTTGCACAGTGGCCACAACACTTCGTGACGCTAAAATAAAACGGGGGAGAAGAGTACGAAAAAAGCGATTGCCTGAGAATTTTCAAAATATAAAAGGTTTCAAATCAGCTTCTTGGGTAAGGTTAACCGTTTAAAAACCGCGTAGTTCCCGTTGTACCATAGGGGTGGCATCGATTGACAGTGAATGATAGTGATAATGATAATAACCGTTCAGCTGCAGCACCCTTCCGGTGCCTAGCTGCTGTGCCGCCCGAAGGTTGCACGATGGTTGGTTTCTGCCAGGTCGCCCAGGCCTAGACAGGGGAAGTCGAGTGGCAGAGGTCGGGTTTGAACCACGGACATTCCGGTCAGTAAATTCGCGCTCTAACCACTTAAGCCATCTCGCCCCGAATGACAGTTAAGAACAAAAAGCCTCCAGGCGTACAACCTTAGCACATGACTACGTTTGTTTCATTTGAGTGTGGAAATAGCGGTTTTAAAAGACAACAAGACAGAATAAATCCCTAAAACTGTGACAATAACTCCGTCATTGTGTGTAGTATTGCATATCGATTCATTCACAGCCTTTGATAAGGAACTCAGGCTACACGAGGTTTCCGAACGAACAATTGACAGGAATCACATTTCGACTGGAATTACTCACGATAAAAAATTCTCTGCACAACGAAGCATACTAGATTCGATTACGCAACCACCAGATCAAGCATTGGGTAACCCATTTGTCGAATTAAAGGATTTTAACTACAAAATCCAAAGCAATGGATGCCAGTGGCCATGAAGGTATTTCGTTGACGGTTTTTGGGTTTTTTCCCATGGATGTTGGCGGAAGCACTTGAACAAAGTGTTCTCACTTGGAGACCTCGACGTGAGAGGGAGAACACAATACGTGACAAGAAGAAAAATTCTTGGAACCATTCACCAGCATGACAAACTGGACTCAGTCTGTGCATCACTACGTTGAAGAACGGACAACTTTTAAATTCATTAGAAGCGAGTCGTCTATAAATGACCGAAGAGAGAGGCGGAAACTCTCCTGGAGCCACATTAGTAAAGGTCATAATGTGGAACTCAGGGAGGTCAGAAGTGAACCTCTTTTGCCGCTGGTCTATAGATCGGAATCAGTCAGGATACGCTCGGAGACTGTGTGGACATGAACAATACCACTGCCTACTTACAAAACGAGACGTAATCGAAGGTCAGGTCAGTCTAGAACATCACTATTAAGCGCATATCGACTGACACACCCTGTCGCACTGCTTCAGTACACAACAGCGCTTGGGTGACAGCACAGGCGTTAACTGACAACCAACTAAGTCATCTTTGACCGCACTGCTGAACGAAAAGGAAACGAAGTCAGGAAGCTGCATATACGATGGTTCACTTGAATTCGACTGCGTAGAGACCACGAGTGCGTACGCTGAGACCTGTGTATGTAGCCCCACTGGCGAGCTTCGTTAGGGCAGTGGGTGCAAAAGTACATTACTCTTACATTACAAGAAAGGAATGAATCACCTAAGTTTGTCGGTGTCGTCCACAAGTGCTCTCAAAAAAGAGGACACTGAACTTGAAGACCGTGTCCTGCTATCCCGGACATACATGGTGCTATTGCCTGTTGACCAGACAGCTGTTGATCTGTTCGCCAGGTTCGGTAACTGACTTGCAAACGTTTCGTCATCATCCGAGAAAAGGCATGATCATTGCGCAGTTGGATCGGTGGTGGTGGTAACTCTTGAGGTGGTTCGCTCGCTTGCACGTGGTCTTTTACGAAAACATATACTTAAGTACAAGTCAATCTTCAAATCAAACTGAGAAACCTTACGGACGGGCGAGTAAACAAACAATTGTAAAGTGCAAGTAAAGAGGTAGGTGTGGTCGACAGCACAACTCGATAAATGCACCAGAATAACTGAACATACACACACAAAGAAAAACTTACAGGCAGAGTTCCGGTGCTCACACAACCATATGCCCTGCCACGTTCCCAGGGCTAATTTGCCGTCGGAAATCGGAATGGTGATGTTTGTTTG